ATCACCGGAGCCCAGCAGGTCGAGGCTGCGGTGGCCGGGAGCGGCCACTGCACTCCAGTCTGGGCGACCCAGTGAGACTCCAACTCAAAAAAAAAAAAAAATGTGTAATGCTAGAAGCGTGGTTTGGGTGGTAGTCCTTTTTTAAAAAATAACTCTAATGAGGCATACTTTACATATCATAAAATTCACCCATTACAAGTGTCCAATTCAATGATTTTAGTAACTGCCCTCAGTAGTGTAGCCATACCATTATTGTTTTAAAACATGTTCATCCCTCCTAATAGTATCCTCCATGTTTTACAGATAATCTCTGTCCCACTCCCAGCTCTGAGCAACTACTAATCTAGTTTCTGTCTCTATAAATTTGCCTTTTCTGGACAGTTCATGTCAGTGGAATCATATGTATCTTTGTGTTTGACTCTTTTCACTTAACATATTTTCACAGTTCATCCATCACATATAACATGTTTTGGTAGCTTGTTCCTTTTACTGCTGAGTAGTATTCCACTGATGGATATACATTTTGTTAGCAGAGAGCCTTTTAAACTTAGATTTCACTTCCTGTGGTCTAAACGGAACCTTCTGAACATAGGACTTGTAGGGGGCGCTGCAGTGCGCGTCACAAGACCGACTTATCAGAGCCTGCTTTGTCATCTGAAGCTCCACGAGGAGCCAACTGCTGCAGAAATTTTTCTAATTTTGCAACTTTTTTATAAGGAATTTCCGTGCTATCTACTACACATCAGGACTTTTGAAACACCTGCTAAATCCATGTAATAATATGAGCGTGTATGTGTTTGAGCGAACAATAAGGTGAAATCATCAGTGCTACCTACGTTGGATATTTTTTCCTCCCTGAGACTGGTTGGGGGGAATTGCTGAACTTTCTAAATAGAGTGTCATGTCTCCACGTACAAAGCTGAACATGTATTTAAAGATCTTTCAACCTTTGTTGAACAGATTTGGAGGTGGGGACAACAAAGGGAAGAGAAAGGGAGTGGAGTTAGTGGAACGGGAAGTCCCCAGGGCTGTGCATGGCCTGCCCAGCTTTTAAGGGCTGATGGTGCTCTGGGGCAGCCCAGCACCTCCAGCACCCCCAGGAGGTCTTGACTTTGGGTCCTTATCCCTGTTTCACAAGTGTTGAAGAGCTGTTCTTCTGTTTTTTTTCTTTTTTTCCTAAATAAGCACTACATGGTAGTTAGGTATTAATCCTTTGGGGGGGAGGGAAGGGGCTTTAAAATGGAAGAAAACAATTTTCATAAAAATATCAAAAATGTAAAAAAGTTACTTTGTAAAAAAAATTTGCTATACAAACCAAGTGGCAGCTGTTAAAAATCTTAATAAAATGCATTTGCTGGTCGTGGTCTCCTTTTGCCTAAGGTTGGGTCACAATCGCCATACTATGGAGGGGTATGTGTGACGTGTGTGAGATTTCTCATCTGAGGATAGGTCATAATTTTAGTTGCAGTTTTCCTAGCAAATAGGGTTACAAAGTACTAAAACACGGGTTTGGAAATCACAGAGCCGAGTGAATCCCACCTTCATTAGTTTGTGCCATTGGTCTGAACCTGTTTATTTGTAACTCCTCCTGGAACTATAATTAAAAATTGGAATTCAATTTTAAAATAGTGTCTGGTGCATAATAGGTGCTTAATATATGGTGGCCAATAGTGGCAGTAGTATGTACAGCTTTGAACAAAGTGGTGGCAACAAGGGGAACTTTGGGCTAGAAGGAAAACTGGATAGTTGTTGTTTTCCCATTCCTGGGCAAAACCGACTCCTACTTAGAAAACAAGTGAAGGGATTCTCTCTCTGCATTTCAACTACTGAAAAAGTTTGAAAGCCTGATACATATAAAGCAGTGTCTTAAGCACCGGATGACCAGGTTACCAAGCAGATGTAGTTCCTGCTCTTGTGGAGATGAGAGTTTGGCGATGCCTGCTTATTCCAGCTTACACCTAGCTTCAGTCTCCCAGTAATTTCTTGAGGGGCTTTATCATAAAAAGATATGGGACCAGACCAGGGCCCATGGGTTCTGCTTGAGCCCTCTCATTGTCGTCTTCCTAAAACAGGGTGGGGGAATGGGAATCTGAGCTGACTTGCCTATTTATAGCTTTTAGAGATAGTATAGTTTTGTGTATATAAGGCTGATCTATTAGAGTGTAAGATCCTTGAAGAGGTGGCTCTGGATGGTGTATTCTAAAAATTTCATTAAAGGTAGTTAAAGTATATTACAGAAAAGTACAGATACTTTGTGTGCAATCCCATGAATTTTCGCTAACTGAAAAAAAGGGTGTATTATTTTTAATCTTTAGGGCACTCATCACACCTAGTAGACAGTCAATAAATGTCTGCTGAATGAATGGGGCAGGTGAGACTGAACTGTCCCTGAAATCAGACAGGGAGATAAAGGTAGTGCTAGCCTCATTCAAGTCCAATGCTCGGTCCAAGCTCTTTTGCCTTGTCACAGGGCTGTTACAGGCTCAGATGAGACAGACGTATATAAGGGGGATCCCAAGAAAAATGAAACTTGTTCATAAAAGTGTATTTATTCTGAAATGTTTAAACTTCAGTCACCTTCAAAGTACTCTCCGTCTGATGCAATATACCCATTGAGACGCTTTTTCTACTATTCAGAAGTTTTTGAACTTGCCAATTTTGGTGACTTTTAGTGCTTCTGCTGTTGTTTCACCTCTTCTACATTGGCAAAAACATTTCCCTCTGAGGACTGTTTTCATCCAGAGGGAAAAAGTCACTCAGGGAGGGAAAGGGTGAACAGAGGGTGGTGCACAGAAGTCATGCCGTTTTTGGCCAAAAACTGAAGCTCAGCGTGGTGTGGGCAGGTGTGCTCATAAATCGCTCATCATGAAACGGGCAAACACGTTGAAGCAGAAAAATTCACTGAAACTGAATGCAGCCTCTCACAAAAAGCTAGCTGGTACACTGATGCTGCCGGGTTCCTAGAACACTTACTGAGTGGGGGAAGTCTGTACCACAAGGGGACTGCCATCCAACAGATAATCCTGGCTTTTTTGGGGTCCCCCTTGTATATCTCTACTGCCTTGATGATGCAGAGTCCCATGCTTGCTCCTGATACCTTGCTGAGGAAAAGAGAACATATGTTTAAAATAAAAGGGGGAGACCCAAAATCACTTATGTTGCTTAATAGTCTTTGTAATTAAAAAAAAAAACAAAAAAAAACCCACTTGATTTTCTGCACTGCAACCTGTGTAACAGAGCCTTCCTCAGTGGGTAGTAAGCAACCTCACCGTGTCTTCTAGATGTGATGGAAACTAGGAACACATCTGACCTTATGCACTTTAATACTGCCTTCATTTTTTTCAACTAGCATTCAACACTTATGTGCTGGGACTAAAATAACGAATCAAGATGTGCTCCTCGCTCTGCTCTAAACCCACTGTCCATCCCACCATACATCTGATCTTGCAAATCATTAAAGTCTTGCTTCTGTTGCAAAACAAATCCTCCACTGTCCAGTTGAAATTGCAGAGTCTAGACAATGGTAAGGAAGAGTGTTGGTTGTATCCTGGAGAATATAAGCAGGTCTCAGTGTTTATACTTTTTTTACCAAAATACTGCTTGATTTGTGTCCCAAAACATGTGTGTGCATATCTCCAAAGCTCACCACTCATTAATAACAGTATCCTCAGGACTACAGGATATAGCAAAGGTACCATTGTTGTGTCCTTGTTCCCTCTGCAAGCTTTTTACCAGGTGCTGAACCAACAGTTTGGTTGTCACCGATATGAAGGTGGCTGGCTATCCTTTCTGAAGGAACTTCTCTTGAGTTCCTTTTGCTCACAGCTCCAGCTTGCTGCACTGCACGAGAACTGATGGGATGAGAGCTGTTGCCATTCTGTTCTATGGGAGTGCTACACTGAAAGACAAGTGTCTGCCTTGGGCAATATGCTAGTATCCAAGACTCCTTAGATCAGAAGCTAGAAGCCGTAGAGTAGGACTCCCTCAAGTGCAGATGCTGGACCCCTGCAGCAGAAATTACCCAAGCTATTTAGAAGAAGTGAAAATTCTCCATCCCATCTTGGACCTACCGTATCAAACACCTTGGGGTATGGGGACAGGAAGAAGACAGAAATCTGATTTTAAAGCAAACTCAAATAAGTGATGCATGTAAGTTTGAGAACTGGTATCCAGGTCATGATTCACACCTTCTAACAGCTTACACTCTGAGCCTGTAGAGGCAGCCACTGTGGATCAAGACTCTGTCTTCATTCTTCCCCAAGCAGCACAGGCAGCAGAACAAGTAGCTCTATGCTCGTCTTCACTACAGTATCCAGAGGATAGGAATCAGTCTGTTCTTCACTGATGTTCCTCATTCCCTGGGCCACACAAGTGTCATGCTGTAAGCAAAGCCAGGCCAGTAGTAGCCAGGAAGGGGCAGGCCACCTAGTGAAGCTGTGCTAGTTGGCCTTGGATCCCAGCAATCCTCATAACCTCTCAATGACTCATACAAAAACACTGCAAAATGTCTTGCTTACCTGCAGTTACCAAATCCAGTAAGGTCAAAATTCTCCTGGACTAGGATCACACTCTGTCCCCTAAATCCTACTGGGAGTCTCAGGAAAGGGCATGATGTGCCCAAGGTTACTAGGTGTGATGTTTTGCGAGAAGAGCGCTGAGTTTTGACTGCGGCTGAGCTAGGATCACTGCCTACGCTGACAGGAGAAAACTGACGTCATAGGTTAACTGGCAGCCACACAGCCAGTATGGATGGTAACAAGGGAGGGGGCAGCACACAGATACATTATCTGTTCAAGTGGATGGTGAGTGGATGCACCCCAGGTCAAGCACCTGGGGTGGGGCTTTAAACCATTCCTGAGCTCTCTAGGATGTCTGCTGGCAGGTACCCTGAGGATGTCACAGCGAGTGTGTTTGATAACACAGTCCAATTGGGGAGTGGGTAAAGTGCATTTATTTTCTTCTATATGTGTTTTTGTTTTTAAAAAGGAAAAAGGAAGAAAAAAGTCTCCTTCCTTCCAGACCCATTGTCCACTGGGCTTAGAGTGGGTAGAGCTGGGCCAGCCCCCTAGGAGAAGGTGTAGGAGTAGAAGGCAATGGCATTGACGTTGTAGTCCATGGGGAGCAGGTGCCCGATGTGCCTGGCCCCTAGGCTCGCCCCGCCCAGAGCGGAGGAGTGCCTGAGCTTCATCAGGGTGAAGCTGGAGAAGAAGTTCTGAGCCTGGATCTCTCTGCCCTGAGTCATCGCCAAGAGAAAACCTGGAGGGGAGAATGCAAGGACAGAGATGAGAGGACACCAGCAACCCACGCACAGACCAGGAAGGAAGAGGAGGCAGAGTTGCCCAGGCCCTGAGGCACTCCTGTGGAGGCTCTGGAGGGGCCTACGTGCCAAGGCTCAGGCACACAGGGCACACCGGAGCTTGTGGACCCAGGAGCAGCTGTGGTGCCAGCAACCCAAGGAGCTTACCCTCCTCAGCTCCAGAGCCCCCGAGGCTGGGAACTCCATGGTAGCAACGGGCATCCCAGAGATACTTCAGAATGTCTAATGGGAACCATCCAACTGCCTGAGACACGGCTGCCATGCTCAGAAGCCATGATTCTTGCCTTCTGGCTAGGATTATGCTGACTAGGGCTGCCACCTCAGGTTATCACATGCTCTGATTTTAAGTTAGATGTGTCTTTAATGAACCATTTAAAAGTGACTATTATTCAATAAATCAATTGACATGCAACATCTTTTCAAGAGATCAAGGAAGCTGGATAGGATGTTTTAAAAGGGCTTAATAGCAGAGTGAGGTTGAGAGCCTCAGCCTGAGGCATCAGTGACCTGTCCAGGCCTCAGGGCCCAAGTGCTCCCCAGGACAAGTAGCTTTCCAGGGCCATCTCCTTCCCAGCTCCATCCTCTGCCTTTGTTCCTCCCTCCTCTCACCCAGACTCACCTTCCTTCAGCAGTTCCCAGCTCTTCCACACAGAGCCCACACACAGGATGGGGAGACCAATTTCGCCTTGGAACAGGACCTGGGTGGGGAGCAGAAAGTGAGTATCAGAACCAACCAAGTCTCTGCCAGTTGAAGGGAGTTTCTGACCAACCTACCCTATTCCCTCAAGAATTACTCTCCCTCAAGCCAAGAAACAGAAGGTAGACTCAAGGGAAAAAAGGGGGGAGGAAGTATAGGAGAGACTCAGAAAGGCAAGGGAGAGAAGAGGAAGGACAAAGGGTTAACAACAGAAAGAAAGGAAAGAGAGAAGGGAGGGAAACTGACAGAAACAGACTGGAAGGGGCCAGTGCACACACATCAAACCTATTTACTATACAAACTACATATAAATACAGATTACAGGCCAGTCACAGAGCCAATGACCAAAGAACTTTTTTGTTACAGACATTCTGCAGAGTTTTTCTCATACCTTAAGTTCATTAAAAATAGTATCCAGTGCAGATAGGGTTTGATGGGATTAGCCCATCCCAAATGGGAAAGGACCATGCCTGGCCCAGCGGGCTCCCCATTCAACTCACCGGATCGATCTCAGGCAACACAGCTACAACGTGTCTACCCAGCATCTCCCCAGCCTTCCTGAATATATAACGGGAAAGGGGGTCTCCCTGCTGAGCACCTGGGGTAAGAAGAATGGAGAAGGGAACTGGTGAATAGCTAAGGTTATCCTCTGTTGCAAGGTAGCAACCATGGAAGCAGTTTTAGTACAACTCAGAATCAGGATGGATGCTCAACCATGGCACGTGGGTGAGAAGCCTCTACTGCTGTCTCTTCTCCACTAACCCCCCCCAACACACACATTGAGTACTCGCCCTGGGAGAAGGGCCCTGTAGGAAGGGCAGCCCCACTAGAGGAGCACACTGGCACCTGATTTGCACTCCAGCTTACAGAGCTACTGTGAATCTGTGCCTACGAGTCTCTCATTTCCAGGAACCCAGGACCCTGGTTGAGCAGCTGGCTGGTACTCCTGTCAGTACCCTCTACCCACCTCCAGCAGTCTGCTGTTGGTGAGCCCCTTCCTGGCTCTATTCTGGAGGGGTCTCAGTCCAGCAGGATCAGACAGAGCCCTAGAATGCCCTGAGGCTCTAGGAGTCCAAATTAAGGAAGTATAGACCTCACAGTGGAGAAAGAGCAACGTGTAAACACACAAGCCCTATGTTAGCTTCTCCAGACACCCAACAAAATATGCCTAACCTCTCCATAATCCACTAAGTTCTTTGAGTATAATTGGTTTTTTTAAAAACGGTACAGATTTGCCCAAAGGACAACTGCTTTGTAAATTTCTCAGAAACAGGCATACACAGCCTATACAAGCCCTGGCAGCTGTCAAGGAGAGAAGCACAGATAATACAGAACAACTGTCAACACAATCATTTGCCCTTCTGCCCCACCACAAGGCCCACCCTCACCAAGGCCAGTGGGGCAGAGAACCGAGGTCACTTGGAGAGAGGGAAAGGGTGTTCAATTCCTTTCTGAAACCCATTCCAAACCCTAACTGGGATACCTTTGAGGAGTAAAACCAAAGAAAAACTCTGCCCCACCTCTAGTACCTTCTGCAATTTTCCGGCAAAACCCAGCAAACCTGCATTTATCAAAGTCCCTATACAGGTGAGTGAGTATTCCCAGCCGGTCTGGCACCTGAGAGACAAAGAAAGGGCATCAGATGGCTGTCAGAAGTCGAAGAAAACCCCAATCTTCCCACCAAGTTGGCCTTCCTAATGTCTCTACTATCTGAGAGTTTTTTGGGTTTTATTTTTTTCAGCTCAAGAAAGTACCAGACTTGAGATTTCTCATTTGAGACAAGTTCTTTGTTTCCCCTAACATGGACTTCACTGCTTCTTACAGATTAGTTTGAAGGCAACAATAAGTTCCAATTTGCGTTCACCAAAAGTGTGGTGTTCCACAATTCCTTGAGATACTCTTTAAAAAAATTTTTTTTAATTTTTAGAGACAAAGTCTTGCTATGTTGCACAGGCTGGCCTCTGAAGCAATCCTCCTGCCTTAGCCTCCTGAGCAGCTAGGCTAAGGTACTCTTGAAAAGATTTCTTTGGTCAAGGGAATCTAAGGAATAATTGCATACTGAAACTCTCTCTTGGAGAGTCACAGTGCATATTAGCAAATTAAAGGCTCTGAGAAGCACTGCAACCAAGAAATCAATTTGTTTCTCCCAAACTTATTTGATCACAGAAGGTCCATCTTCTACCCCAACAAGGTTACACATCCTTAACACCTCTAATGTTCTGAAGGACCAGTGGTTCCCCAGAATACATTTTAGTAGATGGAAAGGGGGGGAAGTAAGCCTGGAGCACCTAAGCAATGTACTAAGCATTTTATACACTATCCCACTTGTAATAACTTTATAAGACTGACTAATGTATACAAGAGGGAACAGTAGTCGTATCAGTGGAGTTGAGACCGACCAGTTGGCTGAGTCAGGAGAGCTTAAGTCTACTTCCCACAGCAACTGCTATAGGAATGGCTTTTCTTCATGGTGCCTTTCTATTCCTCATTAAAGAGGGACCAGAGTTCCTCTTTAATTACCAATCCCTTAGTCCTGAGAATACAGGTACTACTTTCCAGCAACTCAGTCTCCCTTCTTGGCCTTAGCCCCAGTCCACCAAAGTGGCTAGACAAAGAGACTAGCTGGCACTCACACAGAAAATTAATCACATAATGTATCTTCCTTGTCCTTGTCCTCTACCTTCCACCTCCTCTCCCACCTTTTACTCTGATTTCACTAAAGGCAGCTGTCTCCTACCTACTACAAATGAACACAAAACAGTAAAGGAGGAGTTGGTCTCCAGTACCTGGGCAGAAGGCAGCCCCTCTTCCAGAGCTCTCCCTGCCCACCTCTTTTTTTTTTTATTTTTTATTTTTTTTGAGTTGGAGTCTTACTCTGTCGCCCAGACTGGAGTGCAGCGGCCGCTCCCGGCCACCGCAGCCTCGACCTGCTGGGCTCCAGCGATCCTTCTGCCTCAGCCTTCTGAGTAGCCAGAATTACAGGCGCGCGCTACCACGCCCGGTTGATTTTTTTGATTTATTGTAGAGATGAGGTCTCACCTGCCCAGGTGGGTCTCGAACCCGCGGGCTCAGGCAATCCACTCACCTCAGCCTCCCAAAGGCGCGGGATTACAGGCTGAGCCACTGAGCCTGGCTCCTGCCCACCTCTTCAAGGGCACGTCCGACCACACGGGCCGGAAGCAGCTCACCACCCACTGCATGCATTCAGACTCTCCCCGCTGTCTCCACCCGGACTTCACCCTGGCATTTTTCATTTAGCCTACAATGCCATCTGCTTTCAGCTCCCAGTAGGTTCCAGTTGCCCAAGAATGAAGTCCAGCTAATCAGTTGTCCCCAAACCACCCCATCCTCAGGACTGACACCCTCCTGGAATGTGCCGCCGTCACTCTGAATGCTGTCCTCACCCGCGACTTCCCCCCCCTGTAGCTCTGACCCACAACTCACTCTGATTTCCCTTGGGCCCATCCAGGCCCTCCCTTAAACCCACTCCTACTCAGCATCACTCACTGCCCCATCCAAGGTGTGCATGTTACGAGGGCAGAGAAATACCTGGAAGTAGTTAAACATGGCCTGTTTGACGTGGCCGATATCATGAGGAGCCGCCTCCAGGTTGTCGATGGAGTCAAACACAATCTTCACAGCTTGGTGTGCGATCCAGTAGGCTGTAGAGAACAACAGACGAGCGATCTCCCTGAGCTCGTGGGGTTTCAAGGAAACTCAGATCCAGACGGGGTTAGTGGTTCACTTATTTTTTTTAGCAAATTAAGTTTCCCGATTCCCAGCCTGGTGGGGTCTCTCTTCAAACCATATCTGCCTGACCAAGATGAGGGACAGCAGGTGGGGGAGACAGAATAGGTGAGGCTGAGTCACACTAGTTCCTAGCCCAAAACAAGACACTAGTAAACTGGTACGGCATCTCCTGGCATCTATGGCCATAACCCTCGTAGTTTCTACTGCCCCCTAAGGACTCTGAAGTCAACACAGGCAGGCTGCTGCACTGAGGAATGGATCTGAATCCTGGGTGTGAGTCATGCTGAAGAGCAGGGCTAGCAGTCCAACATCCGCAGCGCTACGATAATTACCCTGCACTTGAAATGGTCAAGTTCAGGAGCTGCCCCCAGAGAGCCCCAAGGTGTCAGCAGGCCAAGGGTGCGAGAGGAGGGTGGAGAGCTGAAGGAAGAGACAAGGTCCAGGACCGAGCCAGGCCCCGTTAGCGAGAGCTCACCTGAACCCTCATCTCCCATCATATGGCCCCAGCCGCCACAGCCACTCTCAGAGCCATCAGGGTTGATGAGCCTGCAGTTGGAGCCCGTCCCAGCGATGAGCACGATCCCACCTGGCGAAAGGGCACGGGAGGCTCAGTGTGGCCAAGGCCTTGCACAGAGCAACAGCTTCTGCCTGCAGAAAGACAGGACAGAAACCAGGCCCGGGCAAAGGGGTCACCACCTAATCCCAGAGAGGAGAAAACTACCCAGCTAGCCTCCTGCCTGAGGGCAAAGGCCTGGGTCTCAGAGAAACTCCAGTTGTATAACTGGAGCGGTATGGAGTGCTTCTCTGGGGGACAAGGAGGAGCACAGGCTTCATCTCCTGAGGGAATGTGGCTGCTTGCCCAGCAGTCTTAAGTGCCTCCACCTGCTTTACTGAGCACTTGCTGTGTGCCAGGGAGTGTGCTAGACCCTGTTCTCACAGTGATACCCAGTACCCTAACCCACCCTATAAATACAATTACCCCATTTTATAGATGAGGGAATTGAAACTCAGAGAGTTCTGTAATGTCTCCAAGACAGTACAGCTGGCAAAATAGGAACTGGGATTCAAACACCAATCCAGGGACCTCAACATGCTTTACACTCCGACAGAGCTCCCCCCACTTCCTCCTCAGGACTCACAGCTTCCCAAGCCTGCCTTCATCACCTCACTGCCCCCGGGGCTCCCTCCTCTGCAGTGGCATCCTGCATGCGACTCCACTCCTTGCTTCCCAGCAATATACCTTTTCTGCCCTCCCTCCTTCTGCCCAGTCCTTGCTCTCTGGCAGGGACTTACGCTAATAAAAGGTGGGGGGAGTACGACAGGGGCTCCTTCCAGATGTCTGCAAGACAAGTTTTGCCAGCTACATCCAAGGGACTTTCCCAAGAAAACCAGTTCTCACTCTCACCCCTCCCTCCACCTCCTCACCATCCGGCGTAGCTGTGGCGATGGAGCCGGCCGCGTCGGTGGTGATTAAGTAGCTTTCGCTCAGGTAGGGAAATCGGTCCCTCAGCTCCTCCACCAGGATCCTCACCGCATCCTCCTGCTCCCCACCGCTCAGGGATAGGCCCTAGGCCACGCGGGAGGTGAGCCAGCACACAGAGCCCCAGACCCAGCTCTTGTCTCAACTCCCGCCCAACACCTGACTCCTACGCCCGACATCTGGCCACACCCTGCTCATCCAGTCCCAGTCCTACCCCCTCCCCCCGCCATGACCCCTCAGACGACTGTGGCTGCAGGAACATCCAGGATGGGGATGGACAGAGGAAAGAGGGGATTCCACAATGCCAGGTTTGGAGCTTGGGAGGACAGCAGTGCTCCTAACTGAAAGATCGGGCAGAGGAGCAAGGAGGGGAGATGGAGAGGTAAGCCTTGCTTGGAATACATAGGGTTTGGCTATTCCTGCAGAACATTTCACTTGTATGTCCAGAGAAAAGTCAGAGTGATAGTAACTCAGGAGAAAGATCTACACTGGGAATAACAACACTTAATAAGCGCTTATGGGTCAGGTTCTGTATCAACTACTTTAGGATATGTCGTGTCATTTTACCTTCCCAACATATCTGAGGTAGCTACTACTATCCACACTTTGCAAACGAGGAAACTGAGGCTGAGAGAAGGTATGGAACCTATTTAGGGCCACACAGATGCTGCGTGGCAAAGCTGGGATTCAAACCAAAGTCTCGGGGCTCTCCAGAGCCCTGACCTCTTCAAACACACTTGTGGCTTACAGGTGTCAACTGAAGCCATAAAAGCAGGTGCAATCATGAGAGTTTAGACACTAGGGTCGACTAGTCCTAGAGGTCTTCCTCTAGGAGTCGTCAATCTCATTTGGTCCAAACTTGCTACCTCAGTGTTGCTGACGGCTAAACTCCCAGACTCTATCGCAGACTCACCAGGCTTCGCAGAGGTACCAGAGGATCCACCCCTGCTTTCCGTTTGGCCCTGTTCACCATCTCGTTGATTCTCTCCACACACTTGTCTGTCCCGATCAGCTGGCCCCAACCAAGGGAAGGAGGAGTTAGAGGCTTGCAGGACCTGTTTTGCTACTCTGTAAGCCCCAGCAACCACCTCAACAGGAGTTACAGAGAATAAAATCAGAACCAAGCCCTCAGGCCCCTCAGTGTGGCTTTTACCCAGTGGTTTGTGCTCAGTCCTTCTGCTTCTGCCAGGATCTGCCCATCCTCTGAGAGTAAAAGGACCTTGGACTGTGTGCCTCCCCTATAGAACACAAGAGGGCACTTAGTCTGGCTCAGAAAAAACTGCCGATAAAGCTAATCTTCTGCTGTTCTTGTTGCAGGCAGAGCCCAGTGTGCTGGAAGAAACAACTTCAGCAAACCCAATCACCATTCCCAAGTCCACCTCTGTGGTTTAGAGTTTGCTGTGCTCTTTAACTGAAACATGTTCTCACTCATCTTCTCTCGGGGATGTCCTCCTTACCCTGCAAGACCCTATTTATATAGCACCCAGTCCTTGAAACCTCCTCTGATGTGGGACTAACCCCCACAAATTAGTAAAAGATCCATTAGTTAGGCCTTCACTGTGCTCCCAAAGTTATTAAAGGCTCCACTATATTAAGAGGGTGTTCAGTTGTTTTGTATCTGCCTGTCACTAGACCATGAGCTCCATGGGGTCAAGTTCCAGATCATTTACTCATCCTCAGAACTAGCCCAGGGCCTGGCACAGGCAATGCACCGTAAACACGGCTAAAGAGAATGGAACATCCCTCTGCATCGCTCACAACATCCAAAGACTGCCTTTCAAGACCCAGATCCCGCTGCCAAGGTCTTAAGACACCCTGTGAGAAATGCTGACCAGATGGTAGGGAGAGTTTGTACATAGTTAAGCAACTAAACACTCAAATGCTGATTACTGGGGGAGATGGCACTTTAGAGGGATATCTGTGGCAGTGGGATGGATGCTTATTTATTAATCAGTGCTTTTAGAAATGGCAAAGATACTAAACACCTTCTGATCAAACTCAAAGATGATATGAAATTTGAAAGCGTAGTTAATGCGTGAGGACGCAGATTCAACATCCAACAAGAATGTCTTGATAAACCGAAAGACAGTGGGTTATATCTTAAAGACTGGAACAAGGACGAAAGCAAACTCCTATACTTAGTTGTGGGGGGGACGCCACAGATACGGGATGAGGAAGATCATTAGTCTTTAACATTTCATGTGAAAAGACTTTGGGGTCCGTGAGTCAGCAATGATACATGGCAGCCAGAGAAGTGAATCCAATCTCAGATTCGAAAGTACAAGGACAGCCATCCTGTATTATGCTCTGATTTGACACGCCCATATTCCCAGAATGCTGTCACTGGCAGGGACTTGGCGACCTTGCTCATAATCCCCGGCCTCACTTTGCACATATGGTAACTGAGGCCCAAGGAAGGCAAATGTCTTACACACAGTCATACGCAGAGGTAGAGCGATTACAAAAAGTTCAGTAGTAGAGCTTCTGCGCAGGGAAAAATGCAAGAACAGAGGACTCGATCTAGTGTGAGGAGCACGGAGAGCCAGCAGGAATGAAGAGGCTTCAGGCATCAGGTGCAAGCTAGCACTCTGGTTAGCAGCTGCTCTATCTCCCAGACACGCTCCGGCAAAGATCTTTGCCCGCTTCTGCCCCACTCCCACTCTCCATGCTATCCCCCAGTCCAACAACTTCACACCTGACACCTGTTCTGCAAAACTCCCTCCGGCGTCAGGAATAAGGGAAAGGAGCAGCTGCTCTAGTGGAAGAGGGGAGTGGGTCGTTCCTGGGAGAAAGGGGTGTGGTTCCGCTACGAAACACAAAGAAACCCCCGGGTGTGGCCGTGGCGCATGCAGAGTCCCGGCAAGGCATACGGCCGCGCGCGCAAGGGTCCCCTGCGGGTGCACACACTTCGCCGGGGCAAGGCCTCGCAGCTCGAAAGCCCAGTGGTCAGACCTTCTGAGGCGCGAGGACACCAGTCTGCAGGCCTGGCCACGGCTTCCGCCCCGCCCACGGGCCCAGGCCGCCCTTCCCAGGCTCCCTCCGCCGACCGCACTCACCCCTCTACACCCCCGTAGAGCGCGGCCATGCTGCTGCTACTGCCGCCGCTGGTCCCGCCGTTTGCTTCCCTCCCCGCGGTCGCTTCCCACTCCCTGGCCGGCTCGGCTCCGCCCCGCGTCACGTGCCCGCCAGCGCAGTCCAGCTGACGCCCAATGCGCGTGCGCGGGGCGTGGCGCCGGGCGAAGACGCGACAGCTGCCCGCCCTATCCTCGGCCGCCCGTCTTCTGCGGGTTGGGCGGGTGCCGTCCGCAGCGGCCCCTGACGACCCCAGGCCGACCCCTCCCTTCTCTTAGACTCTGCTTCCAGAGATGGACATTGCGTCCCAAGCAGGGGAACCAGGAAGCGGTGTTCAGGTGGCGGTCCTACCCTCTAGACACGTCATTGCCCTTCCCGTCCCTCAGCACCCGGAAGTTGCTGGCAGCCCCGCGCGGCGCGTGCGCGGTGCCGTGGGTCACGTGACTGCGCCGCATTCTCGGCCACACCCCCACGGAGATGTGGGCTCTAGAAGCCGCGCACGTGAGACTGGGGTCCCCGTGGGCATCTTGCTGGAGTCACTGTCATGTTCGGCCTGACCTCTGGCTGGCGATGGCGAAAGCCACTCGTGCACGCACAGACACCCGCGTAGACTTTTACGCTGCGCTTGTGTGAATATATGGAACCAGAAGCCTGTCGGAAGCCTGATAGCCCTGAGAAGGGAGACTTCAGCTATTACACCCTTCCTGTTGAGTTCTTCATGAAGGATATTGGCAGAGACATAGACTACCGGTCAGTCTAACAGGGTTTTGCAAGGTTTGGGTTGCCTTCCAGCCACTACCCCGCTCCGCTTCCTCACACTGCATCGGAAGAGGAAATGGGAGCCCGAAAATACTGGCCAGGTCTGGGAGGCAAGCTGCAGCCCCTCCTGACCTCCTCGGGCTCCTCCGGGCAGTGTGGGGCCAGGAGGGCAATCAACTGCCCTTGAAATTTCTTCGGTTACGTCATCTGGACTGTTCCCTGTCCAACTCGGCCCCTTTTGACTGCCTTCCACCTTCTGGTAGAGAAATTCTGTACTGGAGTCCCCCTTCCCTGATAGCCTGTTGGGTCCGATTACACGTGGGTATGAACATTTGGCTTTTTAAACTAGAAGACAAAGCTGGGCGTGGTGACGAACGCTGATAATCCCAGCTACTCGGGAGGCTGAAACAGTAAAATCAGTCAAGCCCAGGATTTCGAGGCAGCAGTGAGCTATGACTGCGCCAGCCTGGATGACAGAGCAAGACCCTGTCTTTAAAACACGCACAAACATTTGAAAACAGGACTCTTTACCTCACTTCCTATTTGAGACGCTGAAGTACTGCGTTATAATTTACAAGAGTAAAAAAAAAGTCATTAAATGATAGAGAATATCAGGGAGAGGAAGATATGCCCGCGTACGAGATTTTGTCACAGTACATCAGAGCTAGAAGGTACTTAATCCAACACACACATATTTTTTTTTTAATAAAGGAGTTAATAGATTCTAGTGGGATTAACCTAGGCAGGATTTTTGGAGGAGTGAGATTGTAGGTGGATTTTGAAAGAACTTTATTTTCTGCACTAGTGCAGTGAGACTTGGGACCTATGTGTATAATATTCAAGTTTGCTTCTTTAGAAAATAAAGCAGAAGAGAAAGTGACCAGGTTTGAAGACAAGAATTGAGTTCCGGGATCTTGGGTGGATTACACATAATTGCTGCAGCCTGTCCTCTACAAAATGGAGATGAGACTAACATGAGGTTTAAATACCAAAAGACTTTTGGAAACTGTAAAGTATTTAACAGATCTTAACTAATATGTATTTACTCATTTGTGTGCTGTACTATAAAGTATCCACGTGTGACTACTGAGTCCGATCTTCTGGGGGGGGGGGAGAACACCTCATCAACAAGGGTACCTGCATAATGAACACTTGTATACCTAACCCCAAATTGTACCTCACATCTTTAAAATTAAAAAAAGAGAGAAAAAAGAAATATAGCTAGTCCAAAATGAGGTATGCTGTCGATGTAAAATACAGGATTTCAAAAACTTCGTACCAAAAAAGAATGTAAGATACCTCATTAATCATTTTATATGAATTATATGTTGAAATGATAACATTTTACATATAGTAAGTTAAAATATAGATTATTAAAAGTAATTTTGCCAATCTCTTAATTTTTTTTTTGAGTTGGAGTCTCACTCTGTCACCCAGGCTGGAGTACAGGTGCATGCTCACGGCCACCACAGCCTCAACCTGCTGGGCTCAGATGATCCTTCCGCCTCAGCCTTCCAAGTAGCTGGAACTACAGGCATGGCTAATTTTTGATTTATTGCAGAGATGAGGTCTCACCAAGTTGCCCAGACTGGTCTCAAACCTGTGGGCTCAGGCAATTCTCTTGCCTCTGCTTCCCAAAGTGCTGAGATTACAGGTATGAGCCACCATGCCCACTCTCTTAATTTTTTTTTTAATTCTTAATTTTTAGAAATAGGTTCTCAGGCCGGGCGTAGTGGCTCAAGCCTGTAATCCCAGCACTTTGGGAGGCCGAGGGGAGAGGATTGCCTGATACCAGGGATTCGTGACCAGTCTATACAACTTGGCAAGACCTGTCTCTACCATAAATCAGAAAATTAGCTGGGCATGGTAGCGTGTGCCTGTGGTTCTGGCTACTTGGAAGGCTGAGGCAGAAGGATCGTGGGAACCCAGCAGGTCTGACACTGGGTTGGCAGTGAACGTGCTACTCACGCCTGGGCGATGGAGTGAGACTCTTACTCAAAAAAAAAAAAAAAAGAAATAGGATCTTACTCTGTCACCCAGGCTAGAGTGCAGTGGCATGATTATAGCTCACTGCAGCCTTGAACTTCTGGGTTCAAGCGATCCTCCCTCCTCAGTCTCTAGAATAACTGGGATGCAAGAACACACCACCACTGTTGGCTGATCTTTTTTATTTTTTGTAGAGATAAGGTCTCACTATGTTGCTCAGACTGGCCTTGAACTCCCGGCATGGAGCTGTCCTCCCACTTCAGCCTCCCAAAACACTGGGATTACAGGCATGAGTCACTGCACCTGGCTTTCTTTTTTATCTTTTTAAATGTAGCTACTAGAAAATTTAGAATTTTTTCATGTTATATATTATTTCACCTTATTTTCATGTTATGCAATGCTGTTCTATTATTTTCATGTTATACAATGCTGTTCACATTATTTTTATATTATACAATGCTGTTGTATGTCTTCTGTCCATCAGGACCAGAATATTTCAAAGTCACTGAGTACCCATTTATGAAACAAATAGTGGTCATATAATTGATTGAAAGATGAAAGTGGCATTGAATAAAAATTTAATAACAATGCTATACATTTGTGCTTTACGTTATGATTCTATATCTCTCGCATATACCTTTATCTTGTCTGATTATCCTAAAAACTTTATGAGAATGACAGATTTCTAACCATGTATTACAAGTGAGAAAATTGAGACTAAAAATCAAAGTAGCTAGCCTAGCTCACACAAATAACATATATTGCTTGTTATGGGTATGGTAGTTACTATAATGGGAAAGAAATAAAGATGTTGCAAGACAGTAAGGTGTAAAAGTTTGTGCTGGACTTGCAACATCCCAGCAGCTACTCTCATGAGGCTCACAAGGTTGGTAAAGTCCTTTAAGAATCTGCAAGCAAGCCGGGCTCGGTGGCTCAGCCTGTAATCCCGTGCCTTTGGGAGGCTGAGGTGAGTGGATTGCCTGAGCCCGCGGGTTCGAGACCCGCCTGGGCAGCGAGACCTCATCTTTACAATAAATCAAAAAATCAGCCGGGCATGGTGGTGCATGCCTGTAATTCCGGCTACTCGGAAGGCTGAGGCGGAGGGATCGCCGGAGCCCAGCAGGCCGAGGCTGCGGTGGCCGGGAGCGGCCACTGCACTCCAGTCTGGGCGACAGAGTGAGACTCCGACTCAAAAAAAAAAAAAAAAAGAATCTGCAAGCAGCCGGGCTTGGTGGCTAAGCCTGTAATCTCGTGCCTTTGGAAGGCTGAGGTGAGTGGATTGCCTGAGCCCGAGGGTTCGAGACCCGCCTGGGCAACTTGACGAGACCTCATCTTTACAATAAATCAAAAAATTAGCCGAGCGTGGTAGCGCACGCCTGTAGTTCCAGCTACTTGGATGACTGAGGCGGAAGGATCGCCGGAGCCCAGCAGGTTGAGACTGCGGTGGTCGGGAGCGGCTACTGCACTCCGGTCTGGGCGACAGAGTGAGACTCCAACTCAAAAAAAAAAAGAATCTGCAAGCCACAGTCTTGATCTCTGTCATCTCTACTTTGTTCCCATGACCCCAAGGAGGCCATAGTTTCTGGGGGTAGTTGGGGGAGGAAGAGGGTGGTAAGAAGAACAATAGAAAAATATCTTCTGGCAAGGTGCAGTGGCTCAAGCCTGTAATCCCAGCACTTTGGGAGGCTGAGGCAGGAGGATTGCCTGGGCCCGGGGGGTGGTTGAGACCAGCCTGGGCAACTTGATGAGACCTCATCTCTACAATAAATAAATTTTTTTAAAAATTAGCCAGGCATGGTGACATGTGCCTGCTGTTCCATCTACTTGGAAGGCTGAGGTGGAAGGATTGCCTGAGCCCAGCAAGTAGAGACTGCGGTGGCTGTGTGTGTGCCACTGCACTCCAACCTGGGTGACAGACAGAGACTCCAACTCAAAAAGAAAAAAAAAATAACTTCCCTCTCAAATCCACTTAAGATTTTGGGTCAGAGGACTTTTGACCCCAGGGTCTTCAGATTGTAGTGACTTGATAATATGCAGTCACATCTGTTTTCATTGACTCACTATATCTAGGACTAACTTCAGTACCATGATAGACACGTGATAAGAGTGCCATAAATAGCTTTGAGAGTGCTTATAAACTATAAAGCACTGTACCACAAACACGAGGGATAGTAAATGCCCCACTGTGAACTAAAAGGAGTAAGCAAATTCCATGACTGAGACAATTTGAAGAACATACTGTTCTTCAATAGGAAGACAGGGAAAAAAGTGAAATTGTGAACTGGGGTTGCAAGAATAGGACAAGTGGTGGGATACCCCTCAGAGGTATCTAGCTCAGCTGGGCAGCTCTTGGGGCAGCAGAGACGGGAAGATCACTTGAGCCCAAGAGT